GACTTCAGAACTGTAAGACAATACATTTTATTGTCTGAAGCCACCTGGTTTGTGGTACTTTATTATAGAAGCTCAAGGAAAATAATACAGAAGATGGGTTGGGTACAAGTTCCTCTATCTAACTGGAGCCTGAAGTTCCTAATTTCTTTTAGTACTTATTATCTGGACTTTCCCACCTTTTATCTCCCTCAACAGATAAGTTATTGGAAGGCAAGTATCTCATTTTATTTAATTTTTTGTTTTCCACAGCACTTATCTAACATTGAATTTTTTTTTTTTTTCCAAAGGAGTCTTTCAAATCCAGAGGGCAGGCCTTGAAGGGAGAGCAGACTGGCAGGACTGTGAAACCACTGCAAGCTGAGTTCTTTAGGTCTGTCCCAAGGAACAGGCTGCTCCCCGAGTTTGTCCAAACTGGAAGTTGAGGGGCAAACATCTCAAGTGGCACAGGAGGCTTGTGTTATAGAATCCACCTTGCCCAGACTTCTAATTTGACAGACAAGTGACCAAAATCCAGGGAGGCCGAGTGTCTAGCCATGACTCCACTGCTGGAATGGTTGTTTTCTGCTGTCAGATGGCACAACCAGAAGTTCCTGGGAAGGGAGAAAGTTCAGAGACAAGCCTGGCCCTGTGCAAATCTTAGCTTCTCGGTGACCCCGTGCTGTTCTGGGAGAGTCACATGAGTGTCTCGGTGCCTCTGCAGCCAGGAGTCTTCTCCGTTCTGTTGGGTCACCATCTTGGTTCATCCCAGCACCCACTCCAGGTGGAAACCCTCCACCGATCCCCGGGACACTCCACCCTGGGGAAATCCCAGGCAGCCTGGTAGCCTGCTCTGCCTCTCCCTTTCCCAGCCTTGAATGAATAAGAAAGACCAGCCTCACTCCTCAGAGCAGAAAGCTCCTACCTACCCACCTATAAGCCTTTCTAGAGGCAGAAGGATTTAAAACAGTTTAAAGAGCCATTCACAGCTCTGGGTTCCTGTCCACTTAGCATTAACCTTGAATTTTATACGCATGTAAGCTGGATATGAAATTCATGGGCTTCAAATGTGGGTGGAAAAATTGTAATTTCCTTTTCTACAACTAAAACAATTTTATATCTAGGCCCCTGTTTCATAGTTGTATAGGAGTTTCTACGACAATTCATGCTTTTCTCGTTTGCCCTTTCTCCCCCGTTAGTATCTAAATCCTTAGGTGGGGGTGTGTGTATGGGGGGGGGTATGAAGTATCAAGGCACTGTGAGGGTCTTTGGTCTTTTTCTTCAGAATTCCCATTTGCACCAGTTATCAGCCCCTATCCCCACTGATATCTGCTGCCTCTCAGTGTATCAATCTGTCTCTCAGTCTCTGCTGATCCATGATACTGTATCTTTCACATTACAACCAGGATGCCTCTTCAGGCTTGATGGCTTCTCTCAGTTAATCCGTTTCCATATGAATGAGAACATGGCTGCTCCTGATTTATCCTGAGATCTTTGGGAATTCTTGGAGACTACCCCAGGTCCCTCTGTTAAGATACATTTTAGAGCCATGTATTACTTTTCCATTGCTGCTATTACTATAGACTTAGTAGCTTAAAACAATAGAATTTGTTATCTTAAAGTTTTACAGTTCTGAAATCTGGCACAGATTTCATCCAGTTAAAATCAAGATTCCTTTATATGGGTTCTGACTTTTTTCAGTTTGGGAGGCCAACTTCATTCCTGGGCTCATGCCCCTTTCTATCTTCAGAGCTGGCAGCATTTCATCTCTCTTCCTACTTCCAAGACCACATCTCTTTCCCTCACAATCTTCTGCTTCCCTCTTCCATGTTTAAGGACCCTGAGATTGCTTGGGGCCTGTTTGAATAATTCAGACTATTCTCTCGATTTCAAAGTTGCCCAATTAGAAACCTTAACTCCCTTTTCAACCTTAATTCTCCTTTGCCACTTAACCTGACATATGCACAGGTTCTGGGGCTTAAAACTTAGACATCTCTAGGAGTGGTTATTCCTCTGACCACAAGGCATTCCTACTTACCAGTCTTTAATCAGTGTGACATGTGGGAACCTAGGACCTTGTTTATCTCATTCTGGAAATAAGTACAATTATCCTCTGCTATCAAAACTTTAGAGTTTCCAATCTTCCCTCTCTGCCTCTTTCTCATTCTTTCCTTGATGAGGACATGGATAAGCAGAGGGTAAGGTACAGCTCAGGAAAATCAAAAGTATCTCTTTGGCTGACTCCTCCCTGCTTATCAACCCAGGTAATTTTTGACTCTTCTGTTAAATAGACTCTACTAGAATCTTCCAAATCTAAAATATAGGGATAGATTTCAGTTTTAAAATTAAAAAAAGATGAATTAGCTCTTACTGCCATTCTTTTCATGTATAAAACTTTATCTTGCCAGTAGTGACTGGTTAAAAATCTAGTGTGGAAAAAGAAGCCCAAGATGGTAACAAAAGGATTTGAAAGGAGGCTTGCCAAACAATTGGGCACTTAACCTTTTTCTGCTCAGGAAAAGGGCAAGGGAGGAAAAGAGCAAAGTTCAAGCCAGCTTTCCATTAGCCAGCCTGGTGGGCACCTCATCTAGGCCAGACCCCTCTTGCTCAGAGATCTGCTGTCATAGGGTAGAGGGATCATGTCCCATTTACATCTCAATATATGAATGACTTAAATGATTGAATGAACAAGCAATATTGCAGATGGGGGTGGAGACTGAGGAGATTTTTCTTCTAAGGCATTAGCCATATGGAAGGAACTTCCAGCTACTGAGTTGTCACAATGATCAGGGAACCAGGAGCCAGCTAGTTACTCTGATCTGACTGATGTCTCTCTTCACCCTCCAATCTGCTGCACCATCTTTAAGGAAGAAGATTGCATTGCTGTCTCTGCATGGTAATGACACTGAGCTGATGCAACTGATGAGCTACAGCAGGTCTCACGGGCTATGCCGGTGTGAAAGACTGCCAGTCAAGTGAAAACATAATGTGGTCCCATTGAGAGCAAGAGCAATTTTCATTCTCTCTCCCTGTATCTCCTGCCACCTTCTGTCCACCCTACCTCCACGCCCATCCCCACTCAGGAGTAAATAAAAATTTCAGAACCAGCAATGAAGGAGAACAGAAATGAAAAGAAAGGGAGGAATAGGCAATGTGTGTACATGTTCATTTTAGGCTTAGTCCCTGCAATCCTGACATGCATAGATATTATATAGAGTCCTGTTAGGAGATTTATTAAAAATTGAGATTGAACAACTGTAGAACATCATTGCCTTCTTCTGTTGGCTATAGCTATTTTTCATATGTTTCAGATGTTCATTAAAAGCAAACTACATTTACCACTTATCATTTAAATAAATGTATAAGAGGACTAATTCCATTTAGAAAAGATAAAAAACAACTACCCCTACAAATACAGTGCATTCAAATGCAAACAAGAAAAATGTGTTACAGCTGAAGCTCTGTCAGAAACAAGAACCCCAACATTAACTTGGAATTGTGTTACTGCAGCATCAGTAACAATAACAAATATATTACATCACTAGACACTGATGAAATAGGAAAGCATTACAAATGCCTAATTTGCTTCAGGCTTATTTTTCCTGTTTGCCCACTTTTACTGCTTCCTTTCCTAGGTCCTCACCTTAAACCACTCCACCGCATCCAACCCAAATTGAATAATTGTTCCGAAAAGGAATCCTTCGGAATGCAGAGCATAGCAAAGACAGAGAGAAGAGCTTCCCAGGGCGTGTTGTCTGTCCTCCAGGCATCTTGGGATCCTGTGTATCATTTCAGCTGAATAGGATCATACCCACTGCCTACCAGATTCCTGTTCTTAGCTATTGTGAATCTGTAGCTTAGCAGTGTTGCTTGTGGCTCTGTAGTCCCTTCAGCCCCCGCCCTCCACTACTCCCATTGCAAATCTCCTAGTCTTTACTGTAGGCACAGATTTTCTTTTCTTTTTTTTTTTTTTTTGAGTTGGAGTCTCAAACTGTTGCCCAGACTGGAGTGCAGTGGCCGCTTCCGGCCACCGCAACCTCGACCTGCTGGGCTCCGGCGATCCTTCTGCCTCAGCCTTCCAAATAGCTGGAATTACAGGCATGTGCTACCATGCCTGGCTGATTTTTTGATTTAGTGTAGAGATGAGGTCTTGCTGCCCAGGCGGGTCTCGAACCTGCGGGCTCAGGCAATTCACTCACCTCAGCTTCCCAAGGCGCGGGATTACAGGCTGAGCCACCGAGCCCAGGTCAGACTTTCCATAGAGTCAAAAAAAAGCCAACACTTGTACAAATGACTGCAGTGTACCAGGAAAAAATGCATCTTTCAACCATTTGTAGGTATTATCATCATTATTTTAATTTTATAGATCAAAAAATTGAGGTTCAGTGTTTGTTGAGAGTTCCCAAGCCAACAAGAAACAGAGCTGTGATGTGAACTCAGATGCATTTGATTCCAAGGCTTCCTGATGTTTTTGCTACCTCTTGTTGCATTTAGAGGACAAACTGGATACAGGCAGGCCATTAGAGGCACATGGAAAACAGATTCCAACTTTGATACATTCAGTAGTCAATTTTGTCTGCCGGCTTCTCAATTCCAGTCTGCACTGGATGAAGACAACGCAGGCAACCCCTTGGTTGACTATTATAGCAGCTTCCTTCCCTCAGAACTAAGCATTTCTGTTTTGAATGCCCTCAAAGGCCTAAATCTCTTGAATCCTGATCTCCTTGTATCTTCTCTTCAGCTATCCAGATGATATGTCCTACTCTAGCTTCCACCTACAGATAGACTAAAATCCCTTTCCATCAACCTGCCAGCATCAGTTTTCTGATGGTTACAGAGACTTCTGATGTCTCCCTGGGGACCTAGAGACTTACCTCTTGCTTACAGGTAAATAATGAGTCATTTAATATATTTACATACCAGACATCAGCAGGATTGTGAGGAAGATAACAAATGCAGGATACAGCTGGTTCCCAGGGTAAGGGTGATTCACACTCAAGAAAAGACCAGACTCATTTTGGCAGCACATCTCCAAAAGGGAGGGGTGCGGCCACATTACTGGTCCAAGAGAGGAGGTGCCTCCCGGACTAACTGGAGAAAGGCTGGCTTGGACTATGCTCTGCTCTCTCCTTGCCCCTCTCCTGGGCACTTTCTTAGGTGGGTGTCCTCTTCTCTGGCAAGCCTCTCCAAATCTTCACCCTCATCCCAACCTTGTGAATGTGGAGTCTCAGTGGTTGGTGTGACTCTTGAGCACATTCCTCCAATTGCCTGGATGGATATGGGACTTTATTCTTAGGGGCTGGTGTGCTGAGTCTTGGTTATCTCTATCCTCCGGGAAGGAATTTGCTCTTTTGGTCTCTCCCCAGGCTCTGTGACACTTTGCACTCTTGGCTCTCCCAATTTACTTCCCGTGGTTGATTCCATGTGCCTGAGCCACAGAAGAGCTTGAACCACCTCTCTGGGGAAGGCAAGCCAGGCTGGGATGCTCCTCTCTAAATGTCCCTTTATACTTCCTACAGGGGTTGGAGCTCAGACCATTCATCAATGGCCAGCTACCATGGTGCAGCTTGTGGGCAGCCCGTTCTCTCTGGAGTGCATCGTGAAGGGGACATCAAGCCCCAACTTATACTGGTACCGGCAGTCTGCAGGGGGGTCCCTCCAGCTGCTCTTCTACTCCATCAGTGCTGACCAGATAGACTCTGAGGTGCCCCAGAACCTCTCCGCCTCCAGACCCCAAGATGGCCAGTTCATCTTGAGTTCTAAGAAGCTCCTCCTCAGTGATTCTGGCTTCTATCTCTGTGCCTGGAGTATCATACTGAGCTGGGTGGGGCAGACATCTGTGCAAAAACTCCACCCTCTCCTGAATCTAACCACCCTCACCAGGAGCCCTCACTTAAGGGAAGGGTGGAGGATATTTGTGATTGGGTTTCTGACTGGTAGCTGATGTGAGAATGGCTGAATCAAGCCATAATCCTACAAAAAACATCACTAAGTTCTTAGGTAGAACAAAAAATTGAATGTGTGCAGAGCCTGAGAATTGCCTAGACATAGTCAAGTTCCCAACATTTGGATGTCTGACCCTAGGTTGTCATTCTCCAACCCTCACAGTGTGCTCTATCTTGCCTGATGCTTTATGCTTCCAGATACCTGTTGGTGTATATTGAGGAGGGCGTTTGTGCATATGTGGCTGAAAAAAGTAGAGTACACCTGTGACAGGATGCGGCTTGGTAAATGAACGAGAGGATGCTAACTCAGGTTACTTAACTGGCTAATTTCATCACCTGGAGAGTCTCCTGTCATTGCTTTTTCTGCTGAGACTGGAAATTTTGTGGTGGTTTGGGCCTGAGGCTTTGAGCCAGGGAAGGGGCGAGATGTTCAGGAGACTGTTCTCATTCAGGGTGGAAATATGACTTTGTTGGTATAAGAAACATATACTTAGAAATTTCAGTGAATATTTTGGACTTTAAAAAATGTCCTGAGCCGGGCTCGGGGGCTCAGCCTGTAATCCTGCGCCTTTGGGAGGCTGAGGTGAGTGGATTGCCTGAGCCTGTGGGTTTGAGACCCGCCTGGGCAGCGAAACCTCATCTCTACAAAAAATCAGCTGGACATGGTAGCGCATGCCTGTAATTCTGGCTACTTGGAAGGCTGAGGGGGAAGGATAGCCGGAGCCCAGCAAGTCGAGGCTGCGGTGGCCGGGAGCGGCCACTGCACTCCAGTCTGGGCGACAGAGTGAGACTCCAACTCGAAAAAAAAAATGTCCTGTTGTACTCTCTTCCATTCCTTCTCCTGTAGCCCAGAAGGAACAGAGGAACAGATGGTGATCCAAGAGATATACAAGACTGAGAATAAAGAAAAAGGCTGTGTGTGTAGCAGTAGAGTCCTAAAAAAGAGAAACTGCTTGGATGGAAATGAGGGAGAGGAAAGGGCTGATGTGGATGGCTGAGAAGAGGTGCTATGGTTACCTTGGCAACCTGGCTTCCATTCTCATCCCTCATCCCTCCCTAGTCCTCCTTATTCTTAAAAAGGGTGTTCTTCTAATGTTTCTTCTCCTCCACCAGGGGGCACAAGAACTCTGTTCCTGGCATCACTTAATCTAGGACATCCGGATGTGTTTATTTCCAGCAGCATTTAATCTGAAGAAGGAAACCTGAGACAGAGACGCCTCGCGATCAAGAGAGCGTGCAATGACATCCAAGGGTCTCTATTGCACTTTAAGGATTAAATATGTATTAAGCAACTATTGTGTGTTGGACACAGTGAGTCATCCCCATTAACAAGAAAAATGAAGTATACTCAAGATGGTGCTGGGCAGAGTCACCGCATGATTTAATCAAAACACTTGATTTTTTGAGTCTAAATTTACTAATTGTTATGTCCTTGAGCTAGTTATTTAATCTCTCTAGATTTAATTTTCCTTACCTGTAAAACTTGCCTTATTGAATTGTTAAGTGTATTAAATGAGAAGGTGTTTATATTACAGGGTCTAATTTTCAATAGACATTGTCCTCCTCTCTTTAAGCTTGTAAGATTTTTTTTATTACAACTTACCCAAGAGAAAGACTTGTTTTAAAAGTTTTAAATTATAAACCACAAGAATGTAGTAAATATTTTTAAATGGTGAATATACTTGAATGGCAAAACCATGAAATTTGTACTTACATTGTGCCTATTCAGATATTGATTATCAGTCTTTTCTGTTGGGGCTTTAGGCAGCTTCAGAATCCTTAACAGAAAACATCCAGGCAATCAGTACTAGTCGAGTGGAATTGGTAAGAGACTTGAGGCAGAAAAGTTCTAGAAAACTTCACAAAGGAGAAAAAATTTTCTCTAGGGTTAGCTTTTTAGGAGGCTATTATTTAGATAAGCAAAATGACATTCTGAGCAGGAATAACATCCTGGCAGTTTGTGTAGAAATGTGCAGGTCTCAGCAAATACTGTGGGTTCTGGAAAAGCAGTGAGAACAAAGTCCTGATCATAGCACAGGGTGCACTAGAGACAGGTAAGCATTGATAGGTAAGGTGAGGCTCATGGTGGAGGGGTTTGAAAGACATCTAAATTCATCAAAACAAGTTCATATCCTTCCTGTTTTTTGCCCCTATTCATGCATAGAAATCTTACTCCCATCGCATCTAGGGCTCAGAAATCCACAGTCATTGTAGTTTCAGGGGACAAAGGAAACTAGCTCAGGATGGCGGATCCTGCTCAGATATGACGTCTCTTGCCAGGAATGCATCAACCTCATTTGCCCCTTCAGTCAGATGAGGCTGTCTCTTTTCTAGGAGAGCTTCCAGGACTCCAATCTTGGCTCTGATTTTGTAGATGTGCCAGGACGACTATTTCCCCACATCTCATTCCTGGGCCACTTGCACCTGGATGATCTAGGACCACACGCTGGTGGCTAGAGGCACTCTCCTCAAGACACGTCACACAGATCTCAGCCACCCATAGGATTCATGGGGAGACCCCCCTGGGGCCTTTAGACAGCTTGAGGAAGACAGGAAATGCCCAGGGTTGAGAAGCTGGTGGCACTGAAATGGGGCCACTTAATATTTGTTCCCAGTATTTTATAGTTTGGGTTGAACATGCTATAGCTCCTTGAACTTCTGCAAAGCAAGTTTGACCTACTATATACCCAGTTATTGGGGGTTTCCACTTCTCTGGTTTTTTTTATTCTCTCCTACATTATGTTCTTCCTCATCCTCTTACCCACATGAGTTAGAAAATATCCATCACACAAGCCTTACAGGCCTTAGCAACTGGAGGATGAAACCGAAAGAAACCTAGTCTGTGCAGTGCACAGACACCCTCTCAAATACCCAGAGACTGTCCGTTTGCAGTCTGTTGATTTTCTAGGACTCCCTTTCCTGTGACTCATTAACACCTCTCATTACATGAGTAGAAGGAAGTGGGAAGGAAGTGGGAAGCCAGCGGTGGCGGGAGTTTGGGGGCCAGGTGGGAGAAGAGAGTTGCCTAAGTGATGTGGGATCAGAAAGGACCCCAATTGGGTCATGGCAGTTATTGCAGCTGTTTTCTCATTCCCTACCGTCTCCATGGTGCCCACAGCAGCCTCTGATCTTGTGAATAACCTCCATCAGGTGTAAAAGACATATTGGGGGCAGGGGTTTTACAGCAATACCTAGATTCCCCTCTAGAGACCCTGTTCTCTCCCCCTTGTTCTATTTCCATTGCCAGGGTGCTGACCAGAGGCTGAGGTAGGCAGAGCAGCATGGGGTGTGCAGGATGTGGTGAGTGTGGTTCTCCTGATACTCAGAAGGTGGGTGGGGGGAGCTACTTTCACAGGCACCCCAGATGCAGGACCTGGTAAATGTCAAGCCACATCCTGTTGTGACTCCCTGAGATGGAGCTAGGGCTGTTGTTCCTTGGTGCTGATGTTACTCAGAGATAAACAGCCCGGCAGCCCCACTGGCTCAGCCGAACTCGCATCTTCGCCCAAGTTGTCTGCTGCAACCTAAAAGACCCCAGCCTCGATCTCACTACTTCCTGACTTTTGATTCATGGTCATTCTCCATTTTAACACTACTTTCGTCTTCTCATTCACAGCCCTAGACCTTGTTCCTGGAGGAGAGCCAGGGAACAGGTGTCAGGGCTTCAGGTGCCACTTGTTAACCATGGGACTCCGGGGTCAGTGCTGTCTTCTTATACCATCAGACTCCCTCTGAGACTGTGGTGTCACAGATGTGTGTAATGTGGGGCTGCAAACAGATTAGCTTCCCTGAGTTAACATTCTCTTGATTCTTCGGGGCCTGCAGCCTTTGAATCACTGACTCATGAAGAGTAGAGTTTGAAGATTCCTTAGATATCATTTTACCTAATCTCCTCTTATCACGGAGGAGCATATAGAAGCCCAGAGAATAAAAATAAGTTGTTCAAGGCCATGTAGGTGAGTACAGGGGGAGTACCAGAAGCTAATTCTCTGTGTTTTAGCAACTCCTGGACTTCAGGCAATGCTTGAAGGGAATGTGGGCTCTATATTGAGCCTTGACCTTGCTCTCAATTTCATGAATCATTTGTATAAGAATAAATGAAGCAAATGATCATATCTGAGATGGTGTGAGGATGAAAGGATACATGTGAGGAATTTGAATCCTGCAAAAACTAGATAGGCTTGAGAGATGAGCTGAAGAAACAGGATACAATTAAACAAGTATGCCCTCCCCCTCCCCCACCAAAGAGAGAAAACAAACTGTGTGAACACAGGAAGGGGAGCATGTGACTCACAAGAAGTCTTTGTGAAAAACACCCAGGTTTTGAGTCAAAAGCGGGCTTTAAAAGTCAATGGGGTGATGTGGGTACAAAAAATCGAAAAATTGACCTAATGAAACCAACATATAAGATACTGATAACAAGAAGGTAAAGCTCCCTCCTTATGTGTGTAGATCAGAACCCACCCAGTGTTTTATCCTATCCTGAACAACAACACACCTTTAGAAAGACAGAAGGTAAAAACAAACTTAAATGTCTTCAGAAGAGAGTAAGTTGGCTGTGGAGACTACAAAGTGCTCTGAACTATGCCATATGAGAACAAAATTAGAGAACTTAAATATTTATCCTGAAAAAAAACTTAAGGCTAATAGTAATTATAATAAAAATGAATATTTATTGGTACTGTTCTAAGCGAATTATTTGCAGTTTGGGTTAAATAATCGCTGGAAACTGCCTTATGAAGTCAGGGTTGTGACTGAGCTCATTTT